TGCCCGGCGTGAGTTTTAAGCCACCAGGTCCGGGATGAGAACCGTGGTCGACTATGTGGGAGTCCAGTGACATAACCATTACGCTAACTGCTGGTTCATTATCTGTAGGTTTTTCATAGATGGCTTTTATTGTGTTGAGAAATGACCTTTCTATACCAATCTTACTGAGGGTCTTAATCATGGAAGGATGTTGTAGTTTATCAAATGCTTACTCTGCATCAATTGAAATGATCATATGGTTTTTATCTTCCTTTCTGTTAATATGGTGTATTATATTTATGATCTTGCATATGTTGAATCACCATTCCATCCCTGGAATAAAGCCTACCTGGTTGTGATGAATAAGATTTGTTATATGTTGTTGGATACAATTTGCAAGTATGTTGTTGAGAATTTTTGCATCTATATTCATCAATGATATTGGTCTGTAGTTTTCCTTTTTTTGTCATGTTCTTATCTGTTTTGGGAAGGAGGACCCAAGATCCCGAGAGGAGAATGGAGGAGAAGGGATTGCGGCGTGACCATCCCCCCTGGGGGGTGATTTCTCACTTTCTGTCTCTATGTCTCTGTCTGTCTGTCTGGCGAGTGCACACACCCTATAGCGAAAACCTCTCAAAAAAAAAAAAAAAAAGAAATAATTTGAGTAGGATAGGGGTTAACTCTTCCTTAAAAGTTTTGTAGAATTCAGAAGTGAAGCCATCAGGACCTGGGCTTTTCTTTTTGGGGAGTTTATTCATGACTGATTCAATCTCCTGGCTTGTTATGGGTCTATTCAGGTTTTCTATGTCCTCCTGATTCAGTCTTGGTAGGTCATATACATCCAGAAGTTTGTCCATCTCCTCCATGTTCTCATGTTTGTTGGCATACAGTCACTCATAGTATCCTCTAATGATATTTTGTATTTCTATTATGTCTGTTGTAATGTTGCTTGTTTCTTCACCTATTTGATTTATGTGGTTTCTTTCTTCTTCTTTATCAGTCTCCTTTTCTCCATTTCTCTCTGTCTCTCTGTGTCTTCCTGTGACTTTTAATTTTTCTCAATTTTTTTAAAAGGCAAAGTATTCTCTGAGCTCTCAAGCCCCTTCTTTATTGTGCTAATTACTGCCTTTCCCCATTTCATTTAGAAAAGGCACAAACCCAGGCTGAGATGGACACCAACACTGAGCTGTGGAATATGTGCTGTGTGGTTTTCATTTTTTGTTTTTTTAAAATTAAAATATAATTTTTTATTATCTTTTTTCTTTCTCCCTTTTTCTTTCATTTTTTCTTTCTTTCTCTCTAATTCCTTTTCTTTTTTATTTATCTTTATTCATTGGTTGCTTGGCCTCTGCTCACTAAGTATCTAGACAGGTTCAAGTGAACAGGATCTAAACATCTAAATACAATTAAGTCAGAATATTCCTCTATTCCTACTGAATCTGATGCACAAAGAGTGAAAACAGAACAGAAGAGAGATTGCAGATCACCTCCTTCTGCACTCCTCTGAATGCTCAGATTGAATTTAAAGAATTAGGAAAAAATGCAATGCACTATCCATCAGAAGACTAGAAATCACCACAGGGTCACAAGAAATATGGCAAAGCAGGAAAATACTTCTCCTTCAAGGGAAAATAATAACTCCTCTTCATCCTCAGACAGTATAATGAAATTCATGGAAATGTCTGATAAAGAATTTAGAATATTCATAGTTAGAATTTAGAATATTCAAAGCTAACAGATGAAAGAGAAGAGAGACAATGAACTGCAGAAGAGGCAAGAGAAAGGAGCTGATGAGTTCCAGGAGTTGAGAAAATTCTTGCAAGATCTAAAAGAGAAAATACACACTATAAAAAAGAATCAAATGAACCTGTTAGAGATAAA